AGTAAGAACATACACCCTCAAAATCTATTGCCAGTGAAGCAACAAGAGCAAATGGCAAGAACTACATGTCCCATCCTAGGGTAAAAGCATAGCAGAGATTACTATAAGATCTCTCACTACACTATTGCATACTTTTACTCTATCAGGCTCAGTGTATCTGTTTTTATGTTGATGTTTTTGATCCATCTGGACTTTAGTTTTGTGTAGGGTGATAGGTATGGGTCTATTTGCACTCTTCATGCAGACATCCAATTTGACCAGCACCATTTATTGAAGATGCTTTCTTTTTCCAGTGTGTATTTGTGGCATCTTTATAAGAAAAATCAGGTGTACAGAGGTGTGTAAATTTAGACCTGGGTCTTTAACTTTATTGCATTGATCAACATATTTGGTTTTATGCCATATGGTATTTATTGCTACAGTTCTGTAGTAGAGCTTGAAATCAGGGATGGTGATATGTCTGGAAGTTCTTTTATTGTTCAAGATTGTCTAAACTATTCTGGGGTTTTTTTTTTGTTGTTTCCATATGAAATTGAGTATTGTTCTTTCAAGGTTTGTAAAGAATTATGTTGTAATTTTGATAAGGATTGCATTGAATCTATAGATTGCTTTTGGTAGGATGGGCATTTTTTACTATGTTAATCCTACAGATCCATGAGCATGAGCATGGGAGATCTTTCTTTCTTCAAAGACTTGAGGTTCCTGCTATACAGTTCTTTAACTTTCTTGGTTAGAATTACCCCCAAGATATTTTACATTATTTGTGTCGATTGTGAAGGGTGTTGTTTACCTGATTTCTTTCTCAGTTCCATTGTCATTGGTATATAGGAGGGCAACTGATTTTGTCAGTTAATCTTTATCCAGCCACTTCACTAAAGGTGTTTATCAGCTGTATGAGTTCCCTGGTAGAATTTTTGGGATCACTTACCTACACAATCATATCATCTGTAAATAATGATACTTTGACTCCTTTCTTTCCAATTTTTATTCCTTTGATCTCCTTCAATTGTCTTATTATTCTAGCTAAAACTTCAAATACTATATTGAACAGATTTGGAGAGAGTGGACAACCTTGAATTGTTCCTGATTTTATTGGAATTTCTTTGAGTTTCCTTTGATGTTGGCTATTGACTTTCTGTTAACTTCTTTATTATGTTTAGATATACCCTGTGTATCCCTATTCTGTTCAGGACTTTTATAATGAAGGGGTGTTGGATTTTGTCAAAGGCTTTTCCAGCATCTAATGAGATGATCATGTGGTTTTGTCTTTCAATTTGTTTATATTGTGGGTTACATTGGCAGAATTTCATATGTTGAACCATCCCTACATCTCTGGGATGATATCCACTTAGTCATAGTGGATGATTTTTGTTGTGTTCTTGGATTTTGTTTGCAAGTATTTTATTGAGCATTTTTGTATCTATGTTAATAAGAAAACTTGATTTCTAATTCTTTCCTTGCGTGTTTATGTGATTTGACTATCAGGGTAACTGTGATGTTTTGAAATAAATTGGGCAATGTTTCTTCTGTTTCTATTTTATGGAATAATTTGAAGAGTACTAGTGTTAACTCTTTTTTGAATGTATGCCAGAATTCTGTGCTGATACCATCTGATCCTAGGCTTTTTTGGGTTGGAAGATTTTAATGACTGCTTCTATTTCTCTAGGAGTTATAGGTCTATTTACATTGTTTATCTGATCTTGATTTAACTTTGGTAGGTGGTACCTATTGAGAAATTTATCCATTTCTTTTGATTTTCCAATTTGGAGGAGTACAAGTTTTTAAAGCATGTCCTTATGATTCTCTGGATTTCCTTGGTGTCTATTGATGATCCCTTTTCTTTTCTGATTTCAATTTGGATATTCTTTCTGTGTCTTTTAGTTAGTTGGGATAAGGGCTATATATCTTGTTGATTTTCTCAAAAAAGCAACTCTCTGTTTCATTAATTCTTTATACTGTTTTCTTTGTTTCTATTTTATTGATTTCAGCTCTCAATTTGATAGTGTCTTTCCATTCACTCCTCTTAGAGATGCTTACCTCTTTTTGTTTTAGGACTTTCAGGTGTGCTATCACTCCAATTTTCTTATGTACGCACATAATGCTAACAGCTTTCCTCTTAGCACTGCTCTCATTGTGTCCCGTAAGTTTGGGTACATTCTGTATTCATTTTCATTGAATTCTAGAAAGTCTTTAATTTCTTTATTTCTGTCTTAACCCATTTATCATTCAGTAGTGAGTTGTTCAGTTTCTATGTTGTTGATGATATCCAGCTTTAATCAATGTGCTCTGACAGGTTGCAGGGCATTATTTCAGTTTTCTTGTGTCTAGTAAGACTTGCTTTGTGTGTAGATGGTCAGTTTGGGGGGAAAGTTCTGTGAGGTGCTAAGAATAAGATGTATTCTTTTGTGTTGGGTAGAATGTTCTGTAAATATCTGTTACGTTCATTTGGTTTATAACATCAGTTAGCTCTCTATTTCTCTGATTAGGTTTTCTTTGGGTGATCTACCTGTCCAATAGTGAGAGTGGGGTATTAAAGTCCACTAGTACCAGCATGTAAGGGTCAGTGTGTGGTTTAAACTGTAGTAGTGTTTCTTTTACAAACTGGCATGCCCTTGTATTTGGGGCATAGATGTTAAGAATTTAAATGTCATCTTAGATTGTTTCTTTGATGAATATGTAGTATCTTTCTCCACCTCTTTTGATTGATTTTGGTTTGAAGTCTATTTTATTAGATATTTAAATAGCTACACTTGCTTCTTAGGTCCATTTTCTTGGAATATTTTTTTCCAGCCCTCTACCCTGTTTATCCTTGATGTTGAGGTGGGTTTCTTATATACAGCAAATGGATGGCCCTGTTTTTTAACCCATTCTGTTAATCTTTGTATTTTTATTGGGGAATCCAGACCATTGTTATTAAGAGATAATCAATGAATAATGATTTTTGATTCCTGTTATTTTGTTGTTATTGGTAGTGGCGGTGACGTGTGGTTTTGCGCGTGTGTGTGTGTGTGTGTGTGTGTGTGTGTGTGTGTGTGTGTGTGTGTCTTTCCCTTCTTTTGGTTTTGTTGATGTGAGATTATTTATTTCCTGTGCTTTCATGTGTGTAGTTAATCTCCTTGGTTTGGATTTTTCCTTATAGCACCTTCTGTAGGACTGGATTTGTTGATAGATATTGTTTAAATTTGACTTTATAATGGAACATTTTATTTTCTCCATTTATAGTGATTGAAAGTTTTGCTGGGTATAGTAGTCTGGGCTGGCATCTGTGGTCTTTCAGTGTCTCCAACATATCTACCCAAGCCCTCTGGAATTTAGAGTCTACACTGAAAGGCCAGATGTAATTCTAATAGGTCTGCCTTTATATGTTACTTGGTCTTCCTTTGCAGCTTTTAATATTTTCTTTGTTCTGTACATTTAGTATTTTTATTAGTATGTGGTAAAGGGACTTTCTTTGCTACTACAATCTATTTGGTTTTGTGTATGCTTCTTGTACCTTTATAGCCATCTCTTTCTTTGGATTAGGAAGTTTTTCTTCTGTGATTTTGTTGAAAATATTTTCTGGGTCTTTGAGCTGGGGTTCTTCTCCTTCCTTTTTTCCCAGATTTCCTGGATGTTTTGTGTCAGGAATATTTTAGATTCAGTATTTTCTTTGATTTACACATTTTTCTATTATATCTTCAATGCCTGATATTATCTCTTTCATCTCTTATAGTCTGTTGATGAAGTGTACCTCTGTGGTTCCTGCTCACATCCTAAATTTTTCATTTCCAGGACTCCCTCATTTTGTGTTTACTTTATTGCTTCTATTTCCATTTTCAGGTCTTGAACACTTGTATTTGTTCCTTTCAACTGTGTATTTGTTTTTTTTTTTCTTGATTCTTAAAAATATATTTATTCATTTCCTCTAAATGCTTGTGTCTTCCTAGATTTCTTTAAGAGTGTTTATTTATTTCCTCTTTCAGGACCTCTATTATCTTGGTTAAAACACTCTTGGAAAAAAAATCGTAGTTGGTTTTAAGGTCTTTTTCCAGTGCTTCAGCTATGCTGGAATATTCAGGGACTCCTGTAGTGGAATAGCTGGACTCTGGTGGATAACTGCCCTGGCTATTATTGATTATGTCCTTACACTGGCGTGTAGGCATCTGGGTTTGGGGAGATTATAGGTCTAGGTGTTGACTTCTCTGGGGTTTGTCTTGGTTGGATGAGTTTTATTCCTCAGCTTCTGTTTCCTCTAGACTTTCAGAGTGTGTTGGCTGAGTGTTGTACCTGTTCTACTTGTCTGTTCTGTGGGTGTTTAAGGGGTGGTGGGAGGTTGGGGAGGATATGGAGAGGTTTGCTGGTATTGGAGGCTATGGGGAAGGGGAGGCTGTGGAGAGATAGTCTGAGGGATCCACGGGCAGCATGGACAGGAGAAAGGGGAAGCTGCCCCTGATGTTCTGTTCTAGTACAGGGGGTGACACTGAGAATTGGGGCTGGGATAACAGAGAAGTGGGGAAGGTCTGAGGGTGGCCTATTTGGTCTTCTGGTTGGGAAGGGATTATCTACCTGAGTTGGTGGCTGGGACACAGCTGGAGATGGGAAGGGCAGGAGGAGATGGTACCGGGATCCATATGAGGCATGGTTGATGGTGGGGGAGCTGCAGCTGGTATTCTATTGAAGTGCTAGGGGCTACCTTGAGAATTGGTCTGGGGTAACAAAGTTGGGAAGGTCTGTGGGCAGCTATACTGGTAGGTGAATAATTTTCTAATCCAGGTCTGCTCTAGGCTTCTCTAGAAAGAAATGGTGAGTGTGTGTATGTGTGTGGTATGAGTGTGTGTGTGAGATAGAGACTGTGTGTGTGTGTGTGTGAAAGTGTATGTGTAAGAGTGTGTGTGTGTGAGAGAGAGTGAGTGTGTCTATGAGTGTGTGTGTGGTGTGTGTGTGTGTGTGTGTGTGTGTGTGTGTGTGTGTATGCTGGTGGCTTTGTTCACACACACACAGACATCTTGTCCTTCCCTTAGGTAACACAGCTCTTAGGAAAGATAGAGGCATCTACTTCTGAGCACACCTCAAACTTAAAGATGGTCCAGGGAGATAATCAGCATGAAATGAACCTCTTGGAATACAAGTAAGTAAATGGGTGATTTTTAATTCTGCTCATTGAATTTCAAAGAGTTTTTCATAAAGAAAAAAAACTGACAATAAATAAAACATATTCCAGGAATTTGAGCCTGTACAGGAAATAAAGCAGCAATTTTTTAGAGTCTATGAGAAGTTTTCAAAAGACCACCAGTGACAACACAATCAGAAAGGGCATTTATTACACCACATGCATGTGGAGTTGCACACCCTTAACAAAATGACAACCTCAGAGGGATTTGTAAGCTCCTTTTAAGCACAGCTATAGGAATTTTTAAAGCAGTAAGACCATTCTACTTAGGATTGGCTTATGCACGTGGCAATCATATTAGGACATTTCTAATTGGTTGGGTCTAGCAGGGGTGGGCTAAGACTATAGTTTTCCCATTTTGGGGCAAGTCTGGACAAGTCCCAGGCTTTGTCCTTATTTAGTCATCACCTGGATATATGTGTGTGTATGGGGGGGTGGGTGTTGCCCTGACCCTCTCACAAATCAACTCAGCAGACATTCCACACTGAGGTAATTTATACAGTGTTCATAGAGAATAAATGTGAATTTTAATTTTAACATTATTTAAATTATTTAAGTTTTAAATCATTACATTGAATTATTTATGGAGGTGTGCATGACAATCATAGGGTTGATTCTCTCCTTCCATCATGTTCATCCCAGGGGTTAACTCAGGTCATCAGGCTTGGTGCTTGCCCACTGAGTCAACTTACCAGCCCATGAATATTACTTTTGTTGTTACGTGTGGAATTTGCTTTTCTCTCTTTAAAGGAAGCATTGTCTCTGAACAAAGAATGTGGCTTCAATAAAACATTTTAGTAACGTTAAGGCTAAATTTCAATAAGCAATTTCACATTTAGAGACTGTAAGAAATTTCTCTGTTAGTTAAACATATTTTAATTGAACTTAGAAGTCCCTGTGCTGTGTGTGGTTCCCAGTGGTGCCCATCATGTTGCCACCTATCACTAGACCTAACAATAGACATGTGCATTAGAGTTCTCCCCAGAGCCACCTCCTTCAGCTGCTCAGCCAAGTTATGTCCTAAGTCAACAATTCAATGCTTATATAGCAAGAACCTACCCATCATGAGAAGCAGCTGCCTTTTAATATGGGTTTGGCAGGGGCAGCCCAGGCCAGCCACTCTCTGAATGGTTCGCTCTGCTTAATAGATAGTGATTTATGAAAACAAAAAGGCTATTAGGTCAGTGATGTAAAAACATAAAGTCTAGTCTTATCACCAAAATTCAAAAATGGTATCATGGTAGGAAACTGAAAAGTCCCCCGTCTTTGACACCCATCTTTGTATACTTAGCACTCCACACATTCAAACACAAATGGAAGCCAATGAATGAATGTGTCAGATGCCTGTCTCGTGACAAGGAACCCATCAGAAGTTAGTCACTAGAAAGTCAGATGCCTGTCTCATGACAAGGAGCCAATCGGAAGTGAGCTGGTGGCGCTATGCTTTACGACCCTGGGTGTGCTTTACGGACAAGCGCACGACAATGACGTAGAGAGCATAGCAACCACCCTGGGAGGGCCTATGGGCCATAACAACCAGTTGACCAATCAACACAGGGCAAGCCCTCCAAGCCTGGAGGCACACCAATCGTAAGCCTGTGCGTACCCCTAGACACTCCCCTTACGCTGCCGTATAAGATCTTTTGGGAGACCCAAGGAGCCGTCTTTTCTAGCCGTCTGCCATGGCGGGTGGGTGAAAGACCCGAGCTAACATGGGGTTAGCTCGTAAAATTACAATAAAGCCTCATGCAGTTTGCATCAAGCTTTCGCCTCCATTCTGTGTTTGGGGTGGCCGCCGTCCTGGACTAAGATTCTGAAAGCCTCAGCTTTCTGAGGGTCTTACATGAGCTTTGAGAATTATACATGGAACTTATCCTAAACATAAGCAGGTAACTGAAAAGCTAAACACAGGTAAAGCCAGCGTTGAACAGTGTCAAATGACATAGACAGAAATAAAAAGCGTAGTAGTTGTTTACAGGATTCTACCAGTCCCTAAGACCTCAAGACTCAAAGCACACACAGGCCTGCATGGCAAGTCTTATCATTACTCAAAAGATAGGACATCTTGAATTATTGTGACGAAGTGGTCTGTCCAAATCACACAAACAGTGTCTAACTCCAAAACTCAGGTAGTTACTATGAGCACATGATGCTCTAAGACATTCACTTAGTTTTTCCTTTGTTTATTTGATCCAGTGATTGAGATCAAACCCAGGGCCTTATACCCACTAGAAGGATAACCTGGTAGTATATTTCTGCCCCTTAATATAAGTTAGTTTAAGAGAACCATGCTTATGGGAATGATCTTAGGAGAAAAAATATATTTGTTGAAATTAATTTCTCACTTCAGAAGCTCAAAACTGACTCAGTCTTCAAAAATATAGCATAGTCTACCATACACACGTAAAAATATACTTACAAAAGTAAAAACATCTTCTTTGTATATAAATTCATGACAATCCATTGCTTTATTTCTTCTCTTTTCTTTCTTTTTAGTTTTTTTTAATTCAAATTCTCAAAGCCACAGTCTGAATTTAAAAAGAAAAAATCTTTAAATCTTTTAAAAATTTTCATTCAGTGAATTGTTTAGGGCAAGACATTGCTTTGGGAGTATTAATGGCCCTGGTAACACTGGCTCAGAATGCAGTTGTGGTTTAAATATGCCAATCATAACCAAGGTATTTGCACCATTGGTCTTGCCACAGCTCTGGCTAGCCTCTGCTGTACCTTCAGTTTCCAATTAAGTCATCCTAGAAATATCCTGGGGGTGAGAGTTAGCATTTGTTTCATCTAAATACAAATTAAACAAAAACAAAATGCATTGTCCTTACTGAGTATTCAGACCACATTTAAAAGTCTGGCTTTTGTCTTTTAAGAAAAATATTAAAAGGGCTATCTACCTATCTATATATGATCTATCTATCT